CCCGCGTCCGGGCAAGGGAAAACGTGTTTCCAAAATCTTTTTCATCATATGGGGTCTTTTGAGCCGAACTTTGTCTGGTTCCTCACCCCGGACCTGTTTGCCTTGGGTGACCCTACCAGGGGCATAAAGCCCCGGGCAACTTAGCTCCTGGGATCACTGGAACACGCAAACCCCTCCACCACGATAAGGTGTCGGCTCCAGGAGGGGTGGATTAATCATTTTCCCTTTATTTCTTATGGGAAAAATTTGTTTGGTATACGTCCTGTTTGGTATAAGTCCAAGGATCTGATACGGACTGAGGACGTATACCGAGGTACCACTGTATATTAATGTGCTTCAAATATCATGTCAGCTCTTCTTGTGTTTCCATTGTCCGTCAGGTGCTAATCAATATATGCTGTAGGAAAACTATGGTTATGAAAAGCATAATCAAGTTTAGGAGCATAGAGGCTGTCTAAACTGATTAAACACGAAATGTTGAACAATTATTTGAATAAACATAAGGGAAAAAATCACTGTAGTGAACGACAGGGCCGCTGCTAGGGATTGTGGGCCCCCAATCCAGATCAATCCAATTATGTTTGAAAAGATTTAGGGCCCCTGTCAGTCAGCGGCCCTCAGAATTGTCTTAAATTTCCCCCCTTTACTGCGCCCCTGGTGAGCAACCTACATTTGTTCATTTAAAATCTCATTCAAAGACAACTAAAGATCATTCATGAACATACGGGGCTTGACCCACACCAGATTACTTATTAGTTCATTGCTTCAGAGCAGAACTGGCTTTTCTCTTGCCTAGTTAAAAGGCAGCATGGCTGTATTTAAAGAATTGCTTCACAGTAGAGTTTTTCTGTGAAAAACCAAACTACCTGCCAAAGCATACAGAAACACTTTGGTTCATAATTAACTAGATAAGGTCAAAATGCGAGTTGGTGCAACTGGTCATGCAAAATAGTCCTTGGTTTGTACCAGCTTCCATCGAAAATGACGGGCAAGTAAACCGATATACAGACCATTTCATTTATCTAATTCAGCTTAGCAAGTCTTTAGGTGCTTTATGCACGTCAATGATATATAAACTGTTTTATTTTGTTGGGTTACTTGGGCAGTCAACAGATACCTATGCTTGTTTTTGTTTGATTTTTTTTAAAGATTCTTTTATGTCCATATTAACTGTGCATTTCAGGAAAAATACAACGACCGGTAATAATATTTTTAACAGCATATCCTAATGGAAATATGGATGAAACCAGGAAATCTTCCAGTCTTAAAATAATATACCAACTGTAATGTAGTACAGATTTCTTCTGTCTCCAGATTTTAATTTTAAGGTTTCGGTAAAAAAGCCGAATAAAGGATGTGGCCTTAATCCCGGAGGGACCTGCGCGGTCACACATGCGGCTGATTTCTAAGTGCTTAAACGTAAAAAAGACACTAAATATTGTACTAATTTTCTGGTTAAACACGTTGAATGATACTTAGCTTTTTTTGTTTTTCATTTTATTTTCATTGTCCGTGACTCTCCACGCCAGTGCAGCGCATACAGATTCTCCGCTACTCAAAGAACTCATCTCAAAATGCCTGCAGGTTCGTGACCTGGCCTACTGTCCCTACAGCCGCTTTCCTGTAGGTGCTGCAATATTAACCGTAGGGGGCGCTATAATCACAGGTAAGATTTAGCAGATGGCTGTAAAGACCAACCGCGGGATTTTAACTGAGTAATTTTGGTCAGGCCCTTCTGTTGATTATCTTTTACGCCACAGACGAAGTGTGTTTGCTTCAGGCTGCAACGTGGAAAATGCATCTTACGGACTGACAGTGTGCGCTGAGAGGACAGCAGTTCAGAAGGCTGTGACAGAGGGACACAGGAAATTCTCTGCCATCGCGGTCACATGGTGAGGAATCCTGCTTAGTAAATGAGGTGGTAAACCTTTCACTGCCAAAACCAAAACATGATGCTGAAGACTGTCTGAAGATCCAGGGGTGACTCTGTATTTCTATCAGGGAATACCAGGACACTTCTGAAGGGATACAGGGACACTTTACTGAATGGTGTATAACTCTAATTGCATTTTCTTGTATAGTGAAGTCTATGGAGTAAAAAGTGGGTGATTGACACTAAACATGTAAGAGGTTGTGTGCGATTCTGATGTGGATGTTATGGTCATGGGAGGTTTACAAGGCAAGCTGCAAGTGACTTTTCCATAAAGGAAGCAAGAAATACTACTTCTCATTTACATTCAATAGTTTAGCCAACACTCAACAGCTAGTCATACTATAAGTATTGTTTACATTACACTACAACAGCTCCCTCTGCTGTTCCTGGTAGGTATTATCTGTTTTCATAGCATTTGCTGGATCTCCATGAGCTTTAAATCAGCGTTTACCAGTGCCGTCCTCAGGGACCCACGGACAGTTTTTTCCCCTCCAAATAAAAATGTGGACTGTCTGGCAGGGGGCTCGGAGGGAGCAAAAACGTGGACCAGCTGTGGGTCCCCGAGGACCGGATGGGGAAACAGGGCTTTAAAGTATTTCTCTGAACTGTCAGTGCACTGCAATTAAGTAGATTTTTTTTTATCATTTTTTGTGTGTTTCAAATCAGTATTACTACTTTGATATAAGACTTGCCTTTACCAGAGATTTAACAACATATATGTTTCATATTTACATCATGGCCCTAAAGTAAGTACTGAGAAATCAGCTGTCTGGCCTTTGTATAAAACCTAAGAGGCAAAGTAATTATACAGCTTTCAACTTAATGTGCAGTTTTGAAACCCTTATAATAGAGTATAATAGGGACAGCACACACATGTCTGAACTCATTGTGGTGTGTGTGTTCTTTAGCGATATCAAAGACCAGTTTGTCGGCCCCTGCGGAGCTTGTCGGCAAGTGTTGATGGAAGTGAGTATGGTGTTTGCGCTGGTACCTGCCATGGTTACAACTCAAGGTGTTTACATGTCTACTGACAAGATATAATTTTATGACTAACAAACCACCACCACCTTTTGGCTGCATGAGACACAAATGCTTTGTATTGAATATCAGATTCCAAGGCTGGAGTTTCCATGTCTTTGAGTGAGCATATGTTTTGGAATGTGCAATTTGCCAATATTACTTCTTCCTAGCCCCCCTGCCTAGTTTAATCTGTGTGTTTCTCTCTTAGTTTGGATCACACTGGGATGTCTATTTAATTAAACCAGATGGATCTTACCAGAAAACCACCCTTCAGGAATTGCTACCACTGGCCTTCACTCCTGCTCACCTTAAGGATTAACTGCCAGACCCAAATACAGTTCCAGAAGAGTCTGATATTAACAGTTACTTGTTCCAACACTTATTTGCAATTCTGAGGCTTTTTTTTTTTATTATTGTAAACGGGCAGGTCGATCATGTAATTCTTATTTCAAAATTAATATGTATGTAAAAAAAAACACACGTTGTTTTAGTGGAAAGATTTTAGTTAGTATGGTTTTATTTCCGTTTTAGTTTATTGCTTTTTAATATTTCATATTACAAACTAGTTTATGTATGTTAAAATAAGTCAAGACATCACAATGAATTTGTAACTTTTGGTGGATTAAACAAGATAAAAAGAATAAATTAGTTATCTGAAAGATGTTCGTCTTCATGGTTTAGGTTTTGAGAGCATATTTAAACTGACTGGTATGCGGTACTAAAAGGTGACGGATCCCTAAAGGCAGCATAGAGCGAAGCCGGGAAAAGCTGTCATTTCCGGTATTGTGACATCGGCATCTATTTCCGGCAACATGGAAGCGGTAGTGAGTGAAGTTGTCGCCCCCGAAGACCTTCTGGTAAATGCCTTCTGTTCATCTAATGATGTTTAAAGTTAAGCGTCAGTAGGAAACATGCCGATGAGTTGTGAAATACGCAGGAACTGGGAGCTCTCCTGGTTTAGATGTCTTGTTTTTACGTTACGAACACATCGATCGCCAGCGAGTAAACAGCTTTCGGCGGGTTGGGCCGTCACATGATTGTCTCTCGTAGTGAAGCAGCATCACTTACAACACGATAAAGATTGCAAGCGGGTCGCTGACAGCCATCCAGTTTCAATGAATAAGTTTGTGACTAAAAGAGGCTGCAGAAGGGGTTGCTTAGTTTTGTTCTCTGTTAGACGTCACTCGTACCTAGCTAAATGTGCCCGACATTGAATGTAAATATACAGCTTATTCTGTTTAGTAAAATAGTATAATGAATCTAAATGTCATACCCCTTTGTGTCATCGGTCATAGCCCTTGACAAATCTAGCTATTTAATGATTTTAACCAACAACAAAAAGCGTATTCGGATGATTTCGGGTATCCCTGTCGATATTCAATATTAATAATACATGAGTAAAAGTTTTAAATGTGCGCATTAGATCGGTTTGCTGTCCCTGTTTCAGAAATTCGAAAAAAAATACAATGCGGAGCTGGCCAAGGGAAACGTGTCTAAAGAGACCAAGTTCGAGTACGCCTGGTGTCTGATTCGGAGCAAGTACACTGATGATATAAAGAAAGGGGTAGAGTTGCTAGAAGGTAAGGAGCCGAGGTGTGGAAAATGCTTTGCCACGCCTGGCCAATCTGATACCATGTTTTTCGGGAGAAGGGTCACCATTGCTCTGTGTACTGGCTAAACATGAATACGTCAAAAATAAGTGACCCGTCGCAATATTTTGCTGACAGTCTTATTGCAGTGCGTTTCTTTTTAATTTTGCTAACTTTCTTATAGACCTGGTTCAGAAGGGCACAAAGGATGATCAGAGAGACTACCTGTTCTACCTTGCAGTTGCAAACTACAGACTGAAGGTGACGTAATCGTGTCGCTGTGTTGACACCCATGATTGAGCTGTGGCAAACACATCACGGTTTTAAATTCCAGGAAGGACTCTATTGTACTTGAATTCTTAGTAAACATCCAGTGATACTATTGAGTAAAGGGGATAAACATGAGGCCATGGTACTTTAAAAGGATATTTTTAATATATGATTGAGATGCTTTATTGTCATTGTTGTTTCCACAGCAACGATATTGAATATTTATATGTACTGTTTGAGTGCTGTGTGTACTTCAGTCATTAGTTTTTTTCAGCGGTTCTGTATCCATATCGTAAGAAAACACTAAGGCGTGCAAGTGTAATAATTACTGCTTATTTTCTTTGCACCTAAATTTTATTAGACATATTATAGCTGGTCATGGATTTTTGCTGATAAAAATGAGAATCAGGTTACAGGGCTTGGGTCTTAGTCTGAATTTAGAAGAATTAGTTCTGATCCAGTGTTGCAAACTTGCATTTTCTTGCTGCTCGTGTCACGCCACTCACTCGGGAATTCTCCTCTGTCGCTGGCACTCACAGGAGTACGAGAAAGGCCTGAAGTTCGTCCGGATGCTACTGCGGCAGGAACCAGGCAACAAGCAGGCGCTGGAGCTGGAGAAACTCATAGACAGAGCCATGAAGAAAGGTGAGTATCAGCATGGCTGTGTTAGGGAGACACCTGTTTCACTCTGAATGGTGCCGGTTTGTACTCCACGCTTGCAAGGCATGCGCTTATGCGTACTGTTGCTACGCAAGCGGCGTTGGTGCTCATCCTTGCAAGTAGTTTCCGTCAATCTGGAGGATTAAATATTATGTCCACCAGGGGGCAGTGCGAGAAAACCATCTTGGTCGGCTCGTTCGTTTCCGGTCTTGTTTGTATGAGGTTGTGGCATGAAATGTTTTATACTTGCTGCCTCCACAGCAAGTTGCTGATTATGTAATGCTGCAGCAGTATTGCTCTATCATACCCACTGCAGCACTTCATATTGCTGCTCTTCCATACATCGCTTTACCAGCTCATGCTGAATGTTGCATTATATGTTGTTAGATTTCTCGTAGTCATTAGTATTTCATACTCAATATCACGGCTGCACAATGTACGAAAAAAAATATTTTTATACAATAAATATTGCAATATTTGTAAAGCAAAAAAGAGTTTGCAATAAATTAATTTCTCACAAACATGTCTGACTGATTTAAACAGCAAGGATAAAAATGATTATGGCTCAGGGAACATATACAGAGCTCATGCAAAAGTAGACGCGGTAAACTTTAATTTTAAACATATACTAGATAATCATGAAAAGGATGATCATTAAAATTGCTAATCTTGCATGTTTTGTTTCCTATAATAGAATGTAAATGTTCTAGAGAAACGTAAACCCTCTGTTATTTTATTACCAATTCTAAATACTGGAACTGCATTGGAAAATGACATTGTTTATGAAAATACCTTATACCGCTGCATACTGTCCTGCAGTATGACGGTATGCAAAAGCTTGATCTCAATCCAGCTGCGATGTAAGAATTGCATGTGCATAACTTGCAATGTCAGTATTAATTTTACGCATCACCCAGTCCTACTTAGCATTTTTTGTACTGCAACATTGCAGTACAATGTTGTTAATTGTCTGTATTCTGTGAAGGCATTCAAGAAAGAATTTCACTGTACTTTGTACACACGAAACAGAAGAAACTTAAAATGGCATTAAATTTTGAAGACACTGTACACAAAGGCTCACAATAGTGTTTGGGATATTTTTTCTTTTGCCATTGAAAATATTTTATGTTTTGAATACTTATTCACTTATTCTTTAAAAAAAAAAAAAAAACATGCTACTTTGATACTAACTGTATTGTATATAAACGCATAGTCCTGGGACAAAATGTGACCATACTGCCCCGAAGATTTTTGGTGGAACTGCACCACGTGTAGCGATAATTGCTCACATGGGTGCACAAAAGACAGGAGAAGTCAACTCACATGGCAGTCATGATGTGCATGCAAACGCGTTGCAAGCAGCGAGAATAAACCAGCCCTTAGAGTGAAATGGGTAGATTTAAGGGACAATTTTTGAGGGTGGGGGGTTGTGCTTTTTTTTGTCACTTAATGTGTGAGAGAAACAACAAAATCCAAACGGTGACATAAATGGGTGATTAATGAATATTATGTTACCTCTCTCTTTGATCCATTCAGACGGTCTCGTTGGCATGGCGATTGTGGGCGGGATCGGTCTCGGAGTGGCTGGATTGGCAGGCCTTATTGGTTTGGCTGTTGCAAAATCCAAATCCTAAAGACGGGACATGTCCTGCACTCTTTGTCCTTCCCATCAGAAGCATAATTCCTGCCAGGCGTGAGTTTGATTTCGTATTTGAAATTAATTGACCATATAACCGACGCTTTTATAGTAGATAACATCTTTCACGTGAATGACCTTTTTTTTTTTTTTTTGACCTCTTACAACAAGTAACTCCTCCAAGTTTGTTAAATGACTTTTTCTTCTTTATGTGGTGTTCAAACAAGCCTATTACTGCTGTAACTTGGAACACTAGAATTTTATACAGTATTATGTAGAGATTAGGAGGAATTTCGGTGAGTGAATAGTTTATAGGTAACCAGAAATTACTGGTGATACTTTAACAAGTGTGTAACACTCTCGCTATATAATTTAAATGTTTGACAGTAAATACTGACAGTAAATATAATTAGATTTATTCATGAGAAAGGAGCAGATTCCATTGTGCCATGACTTTGGTTTTATCTTGATATTTATTAATGCAAACAAACTCGCCTGGTAGCTCATCTGAACGAAACTGTATAAAACAACTTCTGAGATTTGTTTGTCCCTGATATTCAGGCTGATCATAGTTACATCAGCTATGAAAATTAGACTTGTATACAACTTATGGTATATAAGTTTAATTCTTTTGAATTAATAATTGCATTTCAGGATGTTTTGGCCAACATCACTGGTATAATAACAGTGATGCTCCATATGTCTATTAGAAGCTGTTAATATCTATATATAATGTATACTTATGATATGCCTCATTTGTAATAATTCTTAACATCTGTATATATCTGGTGTTTTTTTCCTACTATACACAATATATAGCAAATATATACAAAACACTTCCGTATGTTTCACAAAAGTTAAAGGCTACTTTTATTGTTTTTGATTAAAAAAAAAAATTCTAATTTTGATTTATGCATAATTTTACAACAGTGATCATTTGACACAAAATGAAAAGGGAATTAAGTTAAGGTATTTTTTCTACCCTGAGAAGGACATGTTCTAGTTTTGTAAGTAAAACTGTACTTCACCAGGAAAATAGTTTGGTTTGAATTTTGTGGCTGATTGACTTTTGTTTTATTTACTTTTGCTGTTATTCAGTGTGTGATTCAATGCTCAACCATTGGGACAAATGTAATGTATTCCATCCACAAAACATTGTGTAGTATGATAGGAGAAATGAGACTTCAACCCCCCCCCCCCCTTTATCAATTTAAGTGATTACCAGTGTACACATAGTCTAGCCTGTTTTGGGACTCAAAGGGCAGGATGCTTTGGGAGCACGATGTTGAACAGACAGACCTTGCCTTCACAGAGGACACAGCAGGGGCAAAGTGGCATAAATGGGGCTGTTCAATATAAACAATACATCAAGCAAGGCTAAAACTCACAGAAGACACCTCAGGTGTAAGATGAGCTGGTAGCTTTAATTGTACCCTGTTATCCTGATGCTGTTATGCGGTTTATAACGCTAGCCTGCCACCTGTGTTATGCATTGTCTTGTGGTTCTGTGCTACAAATAAAAGTTATATATTGAGTTCTAAATGTCTGGCCATCTGTGTCACGCCCAGAAATGGCGTTTGTTTCCTATCAATGTTTAAACTTAGTTTTTCTTTTAAGTTTTTATTGAATAGCAAAGGTGAGACGAGGTAAGCACATTTCTCAAAATTCTTGCTTTGCAAATTGCATTTAGACTTTGTCTGCTTCACAAACACATTGAAGATTGTAAAACGTTACAAATTGACATCAAAACATTTGAACAGGAATCCACATAATTCGGCCTTTGTTTATGTTTTTAAGGTTTCTTCCTCCTTAAAACCTTAACACAAGATTTTATTGATCGTTTATTGATCTCAGTGGAAAATGTCAATATTTGTGCATAATACTGTAGCATGAAGAGTATAGTTTAAAATTTTTAATTACCTGATTATTCTAAAGGAAGAACACAAACCTTATTTATTAGAGCCATGGGGCTTGAATTTTGATAAATCTTGTCTGGATAAGCCTGAGCAAGTGTTAACAGATCACACACATCAAGACATCTTTCAATGCTGGGTTTCAAAATCTGAACAGTATAAAGGTCATTGTTGATAATAGCAATATTTTTATGACTGATTCTTTTGGCTGTCTTCTAGGGTTTCAAATGGGTGGAAAATTTCCAAAAACTTTCCATTCCATGGGAAGTTAAGATGGGGGAATTTTGGGAATATTCCAAGTTAGAATTAATGGGGAAAAAAATTCCCAGAATTGTGCCACCCTATTGTCTTCTCAATATGATGTTTTACAGTCTGCTTTAGAAGAAAGCTGGGATCTTGTCAAGAAAATAGAAGAGAAATGACCCCCCCCCCCAATAGTAAAGTAGTCTGTTTTATGGAAAGGCCTTAATAAATTAGAATGACTGAATACTTTTGGCATTAATTCAGTTTCAATTTAATACTTCATCCATCATCACAGGGTCTTAAATTAGTTCTCGTATTCAAATGAGCTAATTAGAGTGGTCTGGGGAACAAGGGCTGATACCGTGCGCAGACTCGGCCCACGAAAGGCAGAACCTATAACCTCTCACATGCGTTCCTGCAGATGTAAACACGTGCCCAGAATTTGGCTACTGGCCTTGTGCTCTTTGGTTAAGTCTTGGTTAACTTTCGCCAAGTTTCATCATAGTGATAGCATTATCCAACTATCAATCAAAAGCAACACTGGCAGGAATTTGTTTCTATTGCACAGTTCCAGAAACACGTGAGAGCTGGGAAATATGGAAACTGTTTTACAACCATAAAGATTGCAGTCTATTAGTGATTAGACTTTATCTCTACTGTCAGGTTACTTATTAAACATCACTAAATGTGAGGCAGACAGTGACAAGCCCTTTCACAAACACCTCAGACTAAAGAATGTCCTGACGGTGTTAGTTTATAGAATATAATTGGCAGCCTTGTTAATGTAGGCAGTGGCATATGGAAGTAAATTGATAACAAAAGTCGTTGATGAAAAAAAACACGTTGAATTACACTTATCGAATAAAAACGCATTGCATTAATGCCGCTTTGAATTTTTGCCAACTACAAGGTTTACACACCAAGAGTTTAAATCAGCGTGATAAATTTATGATAACGACAGTCAGTTATGAAAGCTAGTCAGTTGTCGAACCGCGGATTCAGGAGGAGCAGTGTGGTTTTCGCCCCGGCCGTGGAACAGTGGACCAGCTCTATACTCTCCGCAGGGTTCTGGAGGGTTCATGGGAGTTTGCCCAACCAGTCTACATGTGTTTTGTGGACTTGGAGAAGGCATTCGACCGTGTCCCTCGGGGAGTTCTGTGGGGGGTGCTCCGGGAGTATGGGGTGCCGGGCTTCCTTTTAAGGGCTGTTCGGTCCCTGTATGACCGGTGCCAGAGTCTGGTCTGCATGAGCGGCAATAAGTCGGGCTTGTTTCCGGTGAGGGTTGGACTCCGTCAGGGCTGTCCTTTGTCACCGATTCTGTTCATAACTTTTATGGACAGAATTTC